TGAGGGTGGGCCGGGAGCGGGCTGAGGGTGGGCCGGGAGCGGGCTGGGACCGGCCCCGGCCCCGGCGCTCATCGGGAGGAGCTCTGCATGAGGCCGCGGTCCCCAGAGCGGAGTACGGGCAGTTCTCAGAGGAAAAGGAGGGGTTTTAGACCTCAGGCACGCAGAAGGGACTCTAAGCGAGGGAATAAAGGCACACACCCGCCAGCAAAGCCTCTTGAGATCAGCTGTATTCCAACTGCAAAGCTTCATCACAAAGTATCACCGATTTCTTTTAAAACAATAAATAGTTCGCCGAGAGCGTTAAAACACACGTTTAAAATTACAAACGTACAAAGGACTTTGGGTATCGGGCACTTAAAACTTTTTTTTTTTTTAAAAAGAAACAAACCCAAAACATTCAATGAGTTCACATCTTCCCGTTTTTAACGCGCGGCGCTGTTCGGAGAACATAAGGGACAAGGCACATAAAAGCAAATACAAAAAGGCTTCTCTCGAGAACATTTAGACCGTTCAAAGCAATTCGGTGTAACAGCAGAGGGCTCGAGAAAGGCAAATTATAAAGTATCTGAAAAAATTAGGTAACTTAAATAAGGTAATTAATTTGATACAGTCCTGCGAGGCACACGTCACTCTCCTGTAAGATGCTGAACGTGCTTAAATGCTGGCAGCTGAGCATCTGGCAGGATTGAGCTCTTTAAATTTTTAAATAACCTTACAGGAAAGACAGACAATTTCTTCATCTTATAAAATTATACTTCTCATAGTAGTGCAAAGCCTCATTTAAAAATGTAATTAGTCTAGATGTAATGGAATGCTTCAAAAATTCCAAAGTGCAAATATTAAACTTAAATTGGTTAATTGTTTATCACACTTTAGAATTCTTCCAATAACTCATACAAATAGCAAAGTAAATACAAGAACCAAAGCAGAGAAAAAGGTATGATGCATCTTGCATAACAATTTTGAAAATCCAAAAAGTATACTGGATGTGAAAAATATCTATCAGAAATTATTAAATAGCAGGTTTCTGTTAGCATAAGACAATATTTAAAATAAGGCTTTGGTTAAATAAAAAGTTTGCTAAACTAGGAATGATGATAAAAAGTGCAAAAGATTCATCAAATACACAACTTCATTTCCAAGGCAGGCATTACACCTGCCATTTACAATAGTTTGCATTGGTTTGTTAGCCTGCCTGGTAGTCACTCAGATAGCTACTTGCATTTATTACAAGCAAATAAAATCTATGGGGTGCAATCCTATAACTTGTTTCACCCAAAGATAGACCCAATTATACCAAAGTATATCCATTTATAGCATCATTGCTCTGCATTTGGGGAAATCAAGGCCCTGGAACCATAACATTAGATTATTATAGTGAGTTCATTCATTTTCTTAGCGCTTCCTAAACAGAAGTCCTCTGCTGCCAACTGGCAGGTTGCAGCTGACTTACTTACAAGTAGAATTCTTGTAACATATGCATAACAAAGTTTTTAAAAAGTGCTTAATATTGGTCCATAGGAACATCAGGTCAGCTTCAGACCAAACACTTTGCTGTGGTAGATATCCTGCACTTGGTGTTTACTGGTGCACTCATAGTTTGCTTGAGGAAAAAGTAAACCTCTGAGTCTACACAGGAGAATGTCACCTTCCCAGAGAAAATAATTCAGAGTTTTACAGTCACAACACATGCTCCAGCTCTTCCTAAGCACAGTGGTGCAACCTGTAAACAAACAAACAAACCATCTGTGAGAGAAATGCAGTCAGCTCTAAGTAATTTTTTACCCTAATTATATGGCTGCAGCAGAAAGACGTCACCCATGCTCTGTTAACATGACTTACAAATTGGTCCAAAATTGGATACAAACAAAGAAAAGGTAAAGATATTTTCTATACAGAGTGAAGCACTCTGAAAACAATAGCAAGCCTTAAGGGCATCAAGCAATTCTTATTGATAATTTCAATTATTCAGTGTTAAATGAAAAATAAACCTTTGTTATACTACAAACTGGATACCTGAGCTAGACAGCCAGACAACTGAGTAAAGGGTGGTAAAATAATGAATTTCTCTGGAACAGAAAATGCCTAAAATTATAGGGGCAAGCTGTCCTTTTACTTGATTATTTGAAAAAACTCCTGTTAAGAGTTCTTGAAATCAGAATAAATTTACCAGTCTTTATTCTTCAATTACAAACAGAATTTACTTCTGGCAAGACCCTTTTCTGCTGAGATTCTGCTGGACCTGAACAGAGGGCAGTAGCTTCTAACACACCCCTTTGCTTCCTTCCCCTTTTAATCCTTATAGCATTGCAGTGTATGTGAATAGCACACCAAGTGGTACGTACAGAGACTATCCTGAAGATAAAAAAGGCTGTTTATGCCAACTTCCCTATTTCTTTTCTTTTCCCCAGGAACAACAGACTTTTATAGAGCTGTCTGTAGCTCTGACAACCTTCACCTGAGAAAATTCCACTGCCTTCTCCTGAGTTGTGTGAAGACGAAGAGGTGGCAGACTGCTGACATAACAAGAGAGAAGCAACATACACAAATATTTCCAAATCCCTCCGGGAAGGGCTTGAAACTATCCTACATATTGGGATTATGGCATTCAGTGAGATATAGAGGGTCAAGGCTAAGGATCCAAAGGAACATACGGATGGTCTCCACCTAGGCATGTGAGATTTAGTTAGATGCAATGGTGAGAAGCACAGTTTCTCTCCTCTGGTGAGAAGCAGTTTCTGACCTCTGGTACATGTTTTTTTCTTTAGCAGGACTAACAATGCCATGGGTTATCATTACCAGTACCAGTGAATGCCCCAAGATCTGATGATCCTCCTTGATGACTTCTGTTTTAAGACCTTGCAGCAGTATGAAATGGAGAGAAATGGACAGCTGAGTTTTTTGTGTTCCAGGGATTTTTATAAACAGCAGTTCAGTTTTCTCTTTTTGAATTAAGAATTTTGGGCTATTACCAGAATAACATATTGAGGTGATTCAGAATTCAGTTGCCTAAATACTGGTGTCTGATGCTATTACAGATGAGCTTGGACATTGATCCTGGTCTGCAACTGGCCAGGAGGGCCTTGGTCTCCCACAGATTCTGTGCTGTATCTGCCAACATTTTGTGGATGTAGATGTTTTAGGGTATCTCAAATGGCATTAGATATAAAAGGACAGTCAGCTCAGGATGTCCTTGTGCGTGCTCTTCCCACAGAGAGACATATTCCTGGAGCTATATAAAAGCAACCAAGCTCTGAAGTGACAGTAATGGTTTCTGAGCATGAACTGAAGAATTACTTTTATTTTAAAGCTGCAAAAAATAGAATGGGTAAAGTCTTCCTGAAACCTGCATGCAGCATACATAGCATTCACCTCAGGAAGGGATTATTTATGAAAAAATAACCAAAACATTGACAAAATCAATGTTGAGAGACACTGTGTTAGAGAGACAATGTTAGAGCTAAAACTAATCTACATTTATCATTTATCTTCAGAACAGGAAGTCACGTAAACAGAATCCTTTATGACAGTTTGGGGAATGTGGCAATACATTTCATTAAAAGTAGCTGAGATAGTCAAAGAAAATAGCTATACACTTGCAAAAGAAAGGAGGGAAGTTTATTAGAAATTAACAATGTCTATTTAAAATAAGTCATCTCAAGATGGTACACAAAGGGAAAAAAGAGACTCACAACAGACTAATAAGAAAGTGCTTTATAGAGAACGAATATTTGAATATTCCTTGCAAAAGGAGGCACATTTGAAATAACAATATTTATTAATAGTAGTGCATGGTCTGATCAGAAACTATACCTGTGTCCATTCATTTGTCTGGGGATCATAAGACTCCACAGTATTAAGATATGTTTGACCATCATATCCTCCAACAGCGTACAACTTGTCACCAAGAAGACACACTCCCACTGCATCTCTGCTAATGCTCATAGAGGCCACAGCAGTCCACATATCTGTTTTGGGATCATACCTAAAAGATAATTTGTGTTATGCTCTAAAAAACTGTTACCAAAATTCAACAAAACAAAATACACTGGAATTGATGCTGTCAAGGTAGTAGAAAACAGGACAGTACAGATCTGGGTGTTAATTTCAAAGAACTTCCCCCCCGGCCCCAGTTCCCCTTTCTTTGAAACTGTTCCTTTATTCATCTTGTAACACAGTCACTACTAGCCAGATATCTACTTCATGCTGCTTTTCAAATACTCATACAGCCATATATGGCTGTTCTTACTACATTTTATATGTCTAAACATAGCATGCCACAAACAGTTCTGCTGCTATGTCACAGCAGAGCAAGTGCTTGCTTTAAGTACTGCATGTCAAAGCACAGGCAGGTAAAATTTGGTTTGGTACTAAAATTACCATTATTAAGATTACCAATTTCAAAAATAAGACCCCCAAAAATGGTTTGAGAAAATTACATGGGGAATGGAAAACCCTTAAGACAATTTACAACACTTTTGAAATCAGAAGTATCAGCACAGTAAACAGCAGATGGTTTTATGAAAAAAATGGTGTGGTTCTAGAACATTATCAACACTCTTTACAAGTCAAATTGAGAACTACATAGGAGACTCCATGCTATGCTTATGGCAAGGAATATATTTTAATCTGAAAGAGATAATCTTTTTTAAGATTGCAGATGCTTACAGCAGAACTAATGTAATTGCATAGCTCTGAAGGGCTCTAAAAAACTGTACAAAGAAAATAATGATTTGACTAAGATCTTACTTGCTAAGAACAAGTTAAAAGAAACTAGTCTTAATTTTTTTTTTGCATGAAGAGCATAGATACAAAGAGGTCTAACAATTTTATTTGCTTTACTCAAAGTATTACACAAAGCATGGAAGCAAACTGTAACACGAAAACACTACCTGAATCATATACTCAAATAGAAGAGGGTGGTTAGTAAGCTACATGTAGAAATTACTTTTCCAATTATTATATAAGCAATAGTATTTATTTGGGAATAGCAACTTCTGATGCAACATATTGCAGTCAGAAGCTTAGTGAAGTCATAAAAGATTGACTTTTAAAATTAATATTTCTTAATCTTTAGTTTTTTAAAGAAACTAGTTCCATTAATTGGATGGTCTTCAATTTCAACTCATTTAAAGAGCAAAGACAAAATGCACTACAAGATGAGTCCTATTTATTAAAGTAATGAGTTCTGTAACTTTGTTTCAGACAATACTGATGCAGAAAAATACACAGACTTACTGCTTCTCTTGGGTTTCTGATTTTCTGTATTACCCTAAAAATTTGGTATTTGCTAACAAGTAGCATCCTATCTGCAAACCTTTCCGCGTCTTTTCAGTGCAACTTCCATATGTTAAGGGCTATGTGCCACACTGTATTTTCAGGCCTACTAGGACTCTGGAAGTTTGAAAATTACAACTCTCTTGTGGTGGATTTTTGTGGCGTGTTTTTTTGTTGTGTTGTTTCAGTTGGTGAGTTTTTTTGTTTGTTTGGGTTTTTTTGGGGCTTAAGGGTAAAATATATGCCCTGGCATGAATAAATTTAGTAAAAGAAGAATTTGGGCAATGAAGACTTACTCTAAGTGTTGGAGGTAACAGGAATGAAGTTTTACAGCTCTTGGTGGGGGAGCAGGGAAAGAATTAAAGCATAGTACAGAAAGTCTTCAAATGCCAGTGAAGATTTAATACAGTAAATTATGAAGTATTTACTGTCTTTTAAAATTATTTTACGGATCGCATGTGCTTCTGCAATTTGTGATACAGTCATTCATTAATCACTTTACAGAAAGATATAAGATATACCAATCTAGGAATGACTGAATTACATGCCAGTTTCCCAGTGCCATTAGGGAATATGAGAAAGAATTAGATATATAAAGATCCACAAAACCTTACTGGTAACTCCTTTGAAAATTATTATATGAATAGATTCAGACTTCTTGTCTGAAGATCTTGAAGTCTTGAAGACTTCTTGTGAAAGAAGATCTGCTCCATTTTTAAAAGCATTCAATTCCAAGTTGTATCAGTTATCAATCATAATTCATTTAATAAGATTGTTAAAAAAATCTAGACGCATTGCTTTAAGGAGAATTTGCTTTAAACAATCTGTCCTTGTAACATTTTGAATCATAATATAACTACACAGCATATTTTTATATGTAAGTTTCCTCTGTTCATGCTAAAAATAACACACCTATTTTATTGGATTTCTACTTACAGTTTTATCCATAAATCACTAGATAGACTAGCGCTATTAGAACCCCATAGCAGGATATGCCTCCATCAGGATATTACCTTTCTACGCAGTCTGACAGCCTGGATGTTAAGTTGGATGCTGGAGCATCGTGGCCACCTATTGCATACAAGAACCCATTCCAGGTGGTTACACCCACACCACCTCTTCTTTTTGACATCTGAGCACAGAGAGTCCATTTGTTTGTATGAGGATCAAAACATTCTACTGACTTAAGACAAGAACTTCCATCTCGACCACCAACTGCATAAAGCCTACAAAGTAAAACAACAACAAAAAAAGAAGAAAATAAATGTTTTCTGAATAAGACAGTTTCTAGTGAAGCATGAGGGATTCCAAGTTTGTTAAAAGGGGAAGTTTAGAAGAAGACTTTCAACTTTAAGGAGACTGCTCTGTTATCTCAGGCAAGATTTTGCTCCAATCTTTTCCTATTGTACTGACCAATGCATAACAACAACTTACAGAAAATGGAATATCTTACACAGCTTTTGTATTCCAACCTACAATTTCAAAATCATATATGTGACTTGCAGGGTCAGAAGGACAAATTCAGTAGTGGATCTGTGCATGCACCATCTCTACCCTGCCTCATCTTAGGCATTCAAGTGCTTTTCTCGACCTGGGTTTTAGTTCGTGACTGACAGGACTACCTTAAATCCCTCACACCCACTAGGTGGCCCAATATGCTTAGTCCTAAGATAAAGGTTTCTAGCATTTGGTACAAAGGATTTCAATTATTTGCAAGGTCTGACTGAAATGAATGGAAAAAAAAATGGTTTAGGAGGATTCAATCAGTGATGAACCTTTAAAACAAATAAAATATTCAAATTTCATAAAGAGCTTATGAACAGAATCTGTGAGCAATCTAGGCATAGTAGCAGATATGCCCAGCAATATTATTTGGAAAAGTGTGAACACAGAAGCCATTCTAAAAAGGAAGCAATGCATCAGAAGTAAAATCCAGTGAGTGACCACCTCAAATAATTTCAGATCCTAAGAATTGTTAAATAAATAAACAAACATTAGATACTGTAAATAATGATAGTGTGAAAAATTTACAACAGTTATCATGAAGCACTATTCAAGATGTCCATAGTTTGGGTAATACTAGTGTTTGGTTTCTTAAATATATTGACCAAGGGACTTATGTACAAATATCTTATAAATACGGTTGATATAGTACTTCTCAGTAACAATTTGAATACACTTTAAAAAAAATTCCACAGAAGTTTCTTGTTTAGTACTACAGTTTGTTAAAAGTAAGAAATGTACTGAAGGTTTCTGTAAAACTCTGTTGTAGTTCCATAAAGTTCATGACTAAAATAAATCCGTTATGCAACATAACATTTATGAAGCTGCCAACTTTACGTTCCATCAAAACATGAAAGAGTTTCGATCACTTATGCAGTGATTTTGCATTCTGGACACAGAGAAAGACATGTTAATTCCTCAATATGAAGGTTTTGATCCAATCACTGACACGTACCAAGTTACAGACAGACATTACAGAAAAGTGCAGAAGTCACTGCTCCTGCATCTGAAATGCTGCATGCATTTTACCAATTGCTAGCTGTAGTTGACAGTAGTTGTCAACAGTAGTTGTTGCCTCTATTAAGAGTCTAGGCAATGTTCTATAATAACAGGGAAATGTGAGGCTCTAATTCTGGTGCTTTTCATCACTTCTAGGACTCTCTGCTGAATGTATAGCAAGTTTAGGACCTAACACAGGTATCTGAGACTGCAGTTCCAAGGCAGCCAAGGCACTCTGCTTGATGGTCATTTAAGTTCCTCCCTCCTTCCTGTAGGCAGTGAGCATTTCCACTCATTCTTGGACTTATTCCAGATCTTACAGAACCCTTTGTAGGTGCCTTTCAGCAGCACTAATTTACCAGTGACTAGGCTTCCAAAAAAAAAAAAGTGTGAGAAACTTTTTTTACCTGACAGCAGCTCAAGGGAGATGCATCAGATAGCACATAAGCGGGAAGTGAAAATTTGTGGACAGCAGAGTGTAAATATTCTGCCACAACCACAATACTACTCAGTAAATCAGTAGGCTTTTGTCTTTTGTCTGCTGTGGTATTCCTGTAGTCACCCTAGCAAAACATGGCTTGCTTCTCTCCACTCCCAAAGCAGGGGCTCTTCTTTAGTAAGAATTGCATCTTCAACTGTGTAGGTGCATACCCTGATGAAACTAAGCTTAATTAAGGGTGAAGCAATAGACTGAACTTGTTAATTTAGCTTGAATTGCTAATTTAGCTTGGTTAATCATTGGCTAGCCTTAGTTTATGTAGTGCTGATGCATTAAGTGCATTCATCATCAGCAGCAGCTCCAAATCTGCATTTCCGTAGCTTCAAAAACCACACTGTTGGTGGATCTGTGATTGTGAAAGTATTGAATGCAACCAGACTTACAGTGCTGGGCTGGTTATAAACAGGAATTAGGCCCAGCTGCACCCAGCCCCTATGATCTCTGAGGACCAGCTGGAATGCAAAGGGGATTATTTTCTGCCAAATTTCATACTCTAATGCAGCAGGTTCTTGGAATAAGAAAGATCTTGCCATACTGGAGCAAGTCCAGCTGCTGGTCATTAGGAGGATGAGGGTGCTAGAACACTTGACATACAGCTATAATGCTGTGGAGAGGCTTGCTTGACCCAGCTTGGTTATCTTTCTGTGAATGAAGAAACTTGGCTCTTAATATTACTATTTGTTATCTATCAAGAGAAATTATTAATAGTCATTTAGGATGGTCCTTTAATTACATTAAAAGAATGAGATTTTAAATTTGAAAACAGAAATTTCTTCACATACTTTCCATTTAATATTGCTACACCAACGGTGCTCCTGGGAGTTGACATACTAGCTACAAAGTTCCACTGACGAGCCTGTGGATCCCATCTTTCCACTGTATTCAGGTAGCTCCAGCCATCATGTCCTCCTACAGCATACATGGGACCTTCCAATACAGCTACTCCTAAAATAGAGATATGAAAAACAATTGCTTCTGCATAAGAAGAGTCAAGATCAGAACTTCTTAGTGACAGTCCAGCGTGCACCACAAAACTGAAAACGAAACCCCAGATAAACCTTTTGGTAGCTGATGGTACCAAATCTTCAATATAATCTGAAGGAGAAAGGACATTGAATAACAATGAATAAGCAGTTGGCAATAAAATGAAATTTCCACCCCGTAAACTTTATTTTTGAATGTTTTTTGACCAATCCTAAAACAGGTAACTTTTAAAAAATATGCAGTTAGCCTTTACAGAACTGTACATACCAAGACCGTGACGATGAGTGGACATTGGTGGCATTACACTCCAAGTTTTTGATCTAGGGTTGTAGCACTCCACAGTGTTCAATGTTTTCAGTCCATCTCTGCCACCAACAACAAACAATTTATCATCTAAGACTGCAACTCCAAACTGTAATCTTCGTCCATTCATGTTTGCAACTGGAGTCCATGTATTGGTACGAAGTTCATATTTTTCAATGCTTGTAGCTCCTGAATGACAATATATGCAAGTTATATTCAGTAAAAAAAAGTTGCAAGTTATATTCAGTAAAAAAAAGTTCTGAAGTATTAGGATAGTTTTCATTTTAGCAATATGCTGATCTCTTAAGCATGATACCCTGCAGCATATTCTTAAGTCTGTGTAGACAAGTAGTCTTTTTTGACTTCCTCAGCAATTACCTGCACCATTACAAAGGACAACTTTCTTGGTGCTTTCCAAGACAAAAAACTAACTTTCCTAACTTACCAGATCCCTTCTAATTACCATTAAAAAGTATGGAATCTTCTATGAAGAAAATAATCCAAGTAATTGTGACAGAACTATTTAACAATTAGTCAAAATATTTTTGTTGATTTGGCTTTTTTTTTTAAGCATGTGCAGGTCACCTTTGTGGCCTCTTAGTCCTTTTCTTCATTTTCCAAATTACTGCCCCCTCAAGTAAATAAAGATTAGTTTGTATTCAATTAAAACACTTCACTACTCAGAAATCAGCTGTTATTATGGTAATTTGAAATCAGAAGTCTAGATTCCAGAATATTTACAGTATTCTCAAAGATATATAGGCTTTTTTAAACTAATAAACAGTATATACTTTAGATGTTTCATGTTATGTACTGCCAAATCCTTGAATTTTAGATTTAACAGGTTGTAAAAAAGTCTATCAAACATTTAGTTTAAAAAGAACCAAAACAGTTCATCAGCTAAACATTACATAAGCCAATACCTTTTGTTGCATCCATTCCTCCAACTGCAAACAAAACGCCCACTGTAGATTTTCTAGGTTTGGTGCGAGGGCTTTGCAACATAGGTCGTCTCTCTGGCAACAGATGGTACTTCATTGCTTCCATAATGAGTTTTTGACATTCAATGTCATCCCTAAAGAGTGCGTTGTTCTCCATATCTGCCAGAAACTGTGAAAAAGAAAGAAAATCAAGCAAGCTGTATTGCTAGAAACCACATGAAGAATAAAACCATGATTACCAAGATAATATTTTATACAAACACTTCCACTGCCTGATTTAAAATCTCTGTATTTTCAAAATGGTCTTATAAAAAAGGCTAGGGTAAAAAATCAAATTTCTAATAAACGGAACATTCATATTTTGAGTAAAGCCATCAAATTAATTAATTAATATTTAAAGAGGAAGGCCAGCTGATCTTAATGGATGATTTAAGCTTAATAATCCAAAGGAAGGAAACAATCTCTTTGAGTTCAGTGCTGTGCAGGAATGTTCAAGAAAACGGAAACAGGCTCTGGGCATGTAAGTCAGTCCAATCTCATGTTTTTATTCCCAAATCCATGTGATGCAGAGGTCTGTAAAAGCCCTTTCAGCACACACTGAATATTTTAATATGTATTCTGGTCCTTACCCTGACAGTGACTAAGATCACAATGTATCACTTAATAAAAGCCTTTGTTAAAATTTTCATTTTCTATAAACTTTATATAAATTTTATATTTTTTTATAAGCTTGCAAGCAAATTTGGCAACTTTTAAAACATATATAAACTAAATAAAATTCAACTAAAGACTACTAACGGAAGTTTTTAAGTTCAAAGATTCTGGAGTGGTTTGTACTCAATATTTATCAAACTATAGGAAAAAAAAAATTATTAGGTTGAGAGTCACATTCTAATTATTAGAAGTCTGGAGGCTGGCATTTTTCTGAGCTGCACAACATGGCACGAATAACAGAGAAAAAGGAAATTAAGTGCCCCACTGGGATTTGGGCATTTGTCAGCAAAAGAGAGAGAAAAAAAGGTAGATGCCTCTGAAAAGCCAAAATCCAAACACTTTGTGAATGTTAGACATGGAAGTCCACAAACCAATATGAGATGTCATTACTGAGCTTTTGACAGTCAACCACTAATAGGTACAAAACTGCTGTGACATCAATCAGCAGAAGTACTAAAGAGACTTGCTGTGAAATAGATGTGCACAATATGGTGTGAATATCCCTGGCTTAAAGCTGCCTTAGGGTGGCAAAGTGGCAAATAGGATAACCATGGTTCCAGAAGAGATACAGGTAGGTACAGATGGCTAAATTTGAGCTCCTCACTATCAGGCAAAATAACACAAAATATGACAAAAAACATAATTAACCATCACAGAGAGAATAAAAAACCCTTTCAAAGCCCTTCATCATCAGTGATTTTCAGAAAACTGAAACTTTTGCAGCATTTCTCTAAGTGGCTAGAGCTCCCACTGTTTAAAATAGCAAATGAAGTGTTCTCATGTAAATTAGTAGAGGGAACTTAATCTCAGTTTTTACTTTCAAACCTTCCATTGTTTCTTATTTTGACCCAAAGCACCACTTGTATCACTTCACATGGACATTTTGTGATTATAAAATAATGAACTAAAAGCTGTCTTTTAACTGCCAGTGGGTAATGCCATAGAATTGCACAAAGTTTAAAAATATTTTAAAAAGAAATCAATTAATTCCTATTGTCCTAAATCAGACAATGTCAGAGCTGCATGCATAAGAACTAAGGCTTGTACAGAACATAACCAATTCAGACTTTAAATATATTTTTCTGATGGACAAGTACCATATAATATTTAAAGCAACACTATGTGTGAATATGAGTTCTGCAACAACAAGATGCAACCTACATTTTCTACAGTTTCTAACCCACTCAACCTATAAAGAATTTCTCACAGCACAGAATCACAGTCTCTGAAAGCTACTTTATTTCATTTAAAAAGAAATGCAATCTAGTCTGCAGGCTCTTGAAACTAAAACTACTATAATTATTCCTCACTCAAATAACTTAGAATGGGCTTACTAAAAGCATATTTTTTCCAAGTTTTATTATTTATATAGGTCCTTGTACTAAAAGCATTTCTAACAGCATTTACAGATGACATATTAGCATGAAATCATAGTAACTGCAAATCTGATAAGGAGAAAGGTAGTGCAGATACTCAGTACTAAGAATTTCTGACTAAAAGGGATCTGAGCCATCTTGAAATTCAGAAATTGCTAAATTATCTTTTTCATTATTTATCATAATATTTGCCACCTTATATCTTAAGAGGCTGACAAATATTCATCTTTAGGAAAAAGAAATCTACAAATATTTAGGACACTGCTTGCATTAACCAGTGAGACATCAGAATGCTGTCTACAAAGAGATGCATAAACCCAACCAATAAAACTAACAATTACTTACAACTTCTTTTGCTTCCAGTGCTACAGTTTCACAGTTATTTCCTGAAGATTTTTTTAAGTGTATCTGCATCTCTGCTTGCAGTGGTTTTGGTTTCAGCAAGTTGTACAATTTTCTAATTTAATTTCTTTCAAATACCTTTAACTCATCAACCATAAAACTAAAAAGCTTTTAATTATGTTCTATTTGCTGTCAGATTACCTAATGTCACATGATCATGATTCTGAAAGCATAAAGATTGCTTTGGGCATTTCAAGCAAGTTTACTCATCTACTGAATGTTTCCATATTAAAATCAAAGTTCTAACACTTTAGTTTGTTAAAGAAAGTAATAAATGAAAAGGTAATAGAAATATTTTTTTTAGAAATACAAACATATATTTGGAGATGAGATGAAAAATTAAAGATAAAATAATAATTAAAATAAAATTTTGCTTTTGTAATTTATCTTGCTATTTTTCTGATCAGTTACTGAGTGGACATAATTTGTTTTCAGTACATATTTCTGGGATAAATTCTGTACTTTCAGTTTCTAAAGATGTTTCAATTATAGCCAATTAAGTAAAAGGAATACAGCAGGGGTTACTTGGTTATCAAATAATTAAATGTTCAACAAAAGCATTATTTCCTCTTTGTTAATTGCCTTACACTGAATCATGTTTCTAGAAAAATGGAATGTCAAAGTCAAGGCCATAAACTGAGAAAATCATCCTTTTGAATATATAATAATCAGTATGGAAAAAAATACTACAATGGTTGGTAAAGAATCTTACTATCCAGCAAGAGGACATCAGATTAGAAGTAATACATAAAATGTAATGCATGTGATTTATCACTATGAATTAATTTAACTCCATTTTTCTTGTGTTAATGAATTTTAATTATCATTCAGGTTCCATAAATATCCTGTTTCTGTCATTTAAGAGAGAATTTTCACTAAACAAACTGAAAATCATAAAGCAAAATACATTGACTCTATAGTAAATATTAAATATTACTAAAGAAGGTCCAGCAAGGAAAGAGAAGAAAGGGAAAAAAAAATAAAAATATTCAAACCTAGTTTACAAAGTTGCTATCAGGTAGTGAATCACAGAAACACAAAATAAGCAGAGTTGGAAGGGACCTACAACAATCATCAACTCCCAGCACCCACACAACATCCCCAAGGGTCACATCATGTGCCTGAGAGCATTGTCCAAACACTTCTTGAACTCTGTCAGGCTGGGTGCTGTGACCACTTTCCTGGGGGGCCTGTTCCAGTGTCCAGCCACTCTCTGGATGAAGTATCTTTCCATAATATCCAATCTAAATTTGCACTGATACAACTTCACGCCATTCCCTTGCCTGGCTGGCCATGCTGGACCTGATGCCCCCCAGTACATGCTTGGCCCTCCTGGTTGCCAGGGCACTGCTGACTCGTGTTCAGCTTGTCATGGACCAGAACCCCAGGTCCCTTTCCATAGCGCTGCTTTCCAGCATCTCATTCACCAGTCTGTCTGTACATCAAGGGCTGCCCCATGCCATTTGCAGAGTTTGGCACTTTTCCTTGCTAAACTTTGTACATTTGGTGATTGCCCATTCCTCTAATCTGTCGAGGTCTCTCTGCAGGGCCTCCCTGCCTTTGAGGGAGTCGGTATGACACTAACAGGAGTAGTCATTCCTATGGGACAGGAAAATTGTAATTCACAACTATTTAAACAAACTGAGCCCAAAGTTTCCTCCACATTTTCTGTTAATGTCCAAGAAGGAGAAAAAATATTGACTGGGAAGAACAAGTAGTATGTAAGGATGACCTATCAGGAGTTAATAGAAAAATCACTCCAAACAATTAATTCAAATTGCATTTCCTAGCTATTTCTACATGAAGGAAACATAATGAGCCAAATAAACTGTGCAAGTTCAATACAGAAGGAATTTAAAAAGGACACAGCATCTAGTGACTAAGATATCTTTGATAAGCATTTTCACAGGCAAGAAAAAAAAAATCTTTTTCTAGAAGCTAAGTATCAGAATATGCTGCAGTTCACAGAGACACAAACTATCATGCCTATACAACATGCTAAGCTCATACATGTGGCTCTAAAAATCCAGACCACTATAAATTTTATAATTTATCACTATCAATATATTTATGCTGTAGACATTATGCCCACTGTAACCATGGTAAAAACTAGAGAGGAACTGAACAATTTACTTGTGGAGCAAGCAGAGGCAGTCTAATGTAAGCCAGGAGTTTACTGAGATCTTTCCTTCTCTGTTCCAAATCATGTCGAACCCACGTAAGTAGTGCATTCAGTATAGTTTCTTCATTAGGAATATTCATGTCATCACTTGCTAAAAGCTTAGCAATTTCAGTGGCTGGCAATAACAGAAATTCCTGATTTCTAATTACTTCCATGAAGTTTTCCTGAAAAAGAAAAGTATTTTAACAGAGGCAACATCATACTTTGAAGACATTTTATGGAACACCTGCTGTATTCTCCCCTCTTTTCCCTCCCTCCATGCCATCTCTCAGTTGTCCCACTGGAGTACTGACTCAGGAGGAAGATCCAAAAAAAAATTGAAGTACTGAATTATTTTTACCTCTGATCATTTCCCCAACTCAACCATTCAGTCTCACAGACATGCTGAAACAAGTGAGGGAAGTGTACAGACAGAAATGAGCCATAGGTTGTGGGTGTTACTATCTTGGCACCACAAAGTGAAGAAATACTTTCTGAAGTATGGTTAAAAAGAGGCAGTTTGTTCCTGTTGTCAAGCAAAGAGCACAGCACTGTACAACAACTGGGCACATGTAACTGTTTTCATTACTGGTAGATGAAAATGTGGTAGTAAGTTTTCAGAGGAAATAAACAACACTAACGATTTAATGTTGATTTAAAATGGATTATTTTAAGTTTATTTTGCCATTTTGTAGGTTTTACACAATTGATCTGATTTGACTGGGGAGCAAAACATACAAAGAATCCGCAATATTACACATGCCTTGCTATGCTAACAATATTTATTTTGATAGAATTCAACCTTCTAACTTTCATTATGTCATTTTCAGCAACAAATCTTTACTTCAAAATAAGAAATTCATAATATGTAACACATCCTATGCTGATATCAAATTACTTTATAATACGAGGACTTGCAGCATATTCTGTAAGGATTCTGATCTGTTTGGGCTGAAATAGCAGAAGTATGTAGAAACACAATCAACACCATGAACTTACAGTGAAAAACCTGAATGTAACAGGAAAGAGTGATGTTGTGTCTATCCTCTCTCCCCATATACCTTTACAAGGCAGCAAAGCAAAGCAACACAAAAGCAGAAAAGTAAAATCACAACATACTCTTGTATTTCTGTAGCTCAAATGCCAGCTAAATTCACACTCAAAACTGAGAGTAACTTCATGATGATAACAATGTTACAATGATTTGATTAAATGCACTGTGGATTTCTAGATAGTTAGTGGCATGCCGTTTTTGGTCTGCCATCCCATGTACCTCTAAAACACCTGGAGAACAAAATGTGTTAGATCCACAAAGATGGAAGTCTAACTGGGCCTAATATGAAAATTACCCTTACTTACTGTCTTGCTTAATGTTTTAAAAAGAAAGAATTGCATGCTAATAAAAAAGCATGTAGATTAGAAGCACTTATTGGGAAAAAAAGTATTTTTAGATTAAAAAAGGGGAGAAACTCACAAGAGGAAGCAGGAGGTGCACTGCAAAGCAGGTCTTAATGTAGTATTTCAAATGGCAACAAAAACGACAGTCGTTTGGCATTATATATGCAATGAGCATCATAACAACAAAGCAAAATAGTTAATACTTTTTTTTATTGCTTAGTCTAATGCTTTCAAAGCTACACCTCAGTACTCCAAAGATACTGACTAATAAAAAAAGAAAGCTGAGCTAAGAGGTAAAAACTAATTAGGTGTAAACTGTCCATCTTACATGAAAGCCAGATGTATATAAGATGCTCACAAGATATCTAAGGGGAAAGATCAAAGCTACTCCACTCCATTGGTAATTCTGGAAATCAGGAAAATAACTGAAAATGTTATCAATGTACATAATCTACTTGTGAATAGATTTTGGAAAGAAAACTACATTTAATATCTGCAAATATTTAATGTCCAAAAAGCTTCCCTACAACAAAGATCCAAATCCAATTGTCTACGCAAAAAGTACTTCCAAGTGAAAGCTATAGTAGATTATAAAGGAGATAGAGTTTTCTTTTCCTCTTTAATTCATTTAACTATCTGTATTACAAAATAAAAGTTAAAATGAATGAATATATGAATTTAAAACAGTGAAAGCACTGTACCGATATTCAGAAGCACTACACATACATTGCTATTTATTTCACTCTGATATTAAATGCCTGCCAGTAAAATTGAATCTGAGAAGTGATGAAAATTATTTCCACAGTTTAAACATGCAGTTCACAGGAATTCATATTCCACTGAGTTCATGTTTTCCACTGGCTGCTTTTTGTTGGTTCTTTTTCCTAGAGAGTATGCAAGCTGGAGCTGAGCATTTGGTTTTGCTGAATGAACAGGCAGCGAGCTCTGACAAAGAGAAACACCAACACTTACTACCTTAAGCTTTCCAAATTGTCTATCCAGATCACAGGAAGAGGAAGGGGAAAGCACTTGCACAAAATGTTCTTTCATCTCTGGAGCCAACAACAAGCTGATCTTGCATAAGTCAATCAGGGACTCAATCTTTGGAAAGCTTTTTTCCAACTGGATTTCATCACTTCAACAGCTGTTACGTGCAAAAAGCCTGATTTTCCTTCTTGTTGCTTGCAGACCATTGCTTTTTGATGGGAACAAGTTCAATTTCCTCTTGCTCCCATTCTATTTTTAAAGCAGAGACTCCTTTTGAGCAGAGTATCAAAGCATTCCACTGGGAATACAGGCACTCTTTGTCCTATGTCTGGGTTTTTTTATAATCAGAATCTGAAACTTCCTCTTCCTTTACAGACAGAGATTCTGAAGACAAAAAGAAGGAGCCAGTGTATCTCCTAGCATTCTTAACCTCCTCATTAGCCTTTTCTTTCCTTCTTCTTATGGGAACTCTCTGTGGAAGAACAGGATATTTCAGAGAACAAAAGGTCTGCAGTTTCAATCCCTTGCTTTCTGGTCCTGAAAGTAAACAGAATTTCCCAACCCCAAAATTAGCTCCTCAAGAGCTTGGAAACTTTATCAAATGAGTAGCCTGAGGCTTATGTGTTAACCAAGACAGGGACATGCAGTCCTCATGCTCAATGCTGGGTACTGCTCATTCACATAATAACCTCAAATTCATTCTTCAGCAACTGCAGAGTGAGTAATACTAATAGTCTTAACCACAGATCTACCTTGGACTTGGTACAGAGCAAAAAAATATTAGGAGCACATACAAAATAAGATGTCATGATGTGTATTTCTAAATGATACTTAATCCCTACAGTGGGATGCAGTGAGATGGTTAGTCTCCCTGCACACTGTGTCAGAAGGAACAAAACTTTGGAGAGCATCAGACACCTGCAAGTTGAGGGGGACTGAGGCTGCCCAACAGGAAGCTCTAATAACGGGGTTCTGCTTAAGCTCTGAACTTGGGCAACCAAAAAGCAAGAGTTGTTTGACTCACAGGATCTGAAAATGAAAACAAACAGGAAATTTAATTTTTGTCTGCTGACTGCTTTAGTCCACTGGTCAACTAAGTATGAATTCACTATAAACTGAGCTGACTTCCTGGGAAACTATTAATAATCAAACAGCTGTCAGATACCACCTACTTTACTTTTACTCAGATTTGACTGATGTGTTAAACAATCAACCAACCTAATACTTGCACTGTGTGCAGGGTTTGCTTAGAATACAGCTATTGTAGCTTGACTCCTCGCTGCACTATTTCTGGATTCCAAAACAGACTGAGCAGCATGCAGAAACCTATTCAGTCTTGACAAGGCAGTACTGATCTATTGTGCTAGGCAGGATGGAGGGAACTTGAAAGACAAAGATATCTTGGGATTTCACAGGTAAAAAGTAAGTGAATGAGTATTTTGCAAGTCAGTCAATTACTGAGCAGGATATTTTGGATTGCAATTTCAGGTGCAAGAATGTAAAATCCTTGTTTTAGGCACTATCACAATCCTTGGTTCTGGCCCTTTATGGACAAAAAGCATTTAAATTTCTCCTCTCTTCATGCTCCCCACTAACAAAAGAAAAAACTGTCCTAGCTGTTGCAAAAAAAAAAAAAAAAAAAGACAAAAAAAAGACAAATTATCCCTCTTTCATTCTTTTAAATCATAACTCCATGATTTTTTTGTTCTCCAACGCCTAAGTGTGCCACACATTTTCTTCTGCAAAACTACCTACTTTCTATGCTTGGACACAATCTATTCTTTTTTCTTTTTATACATCCATTGGCTTGCTCAGAAGCCATACAAATTCCAAAACTAACTTTATCTGAATCTTGTAATACTATCACTCACTGCTAATGTATTTTCTGAACACTTCTGATGAAAATCAAAATGACTTTTCACTCTGCTTTAAGCAGGCATAGCTGAGTAACAATGATTACACATAGACCAGTTCAGGCACTATCACACAAAGTTTCAAATGTCTGTTCTTTCTTTTTTAGTTGTAAATCAGAAAGTTAAAATCTGGCTACTAAAGAAGCTACTGACACTTACCTAAGAACACCTCACTAGTCACCACAGATATTTCAAGTTCTGGAAGTAACACAGGCTAGCTTTTCCTCATCTCAAAGTATTAACTCCCCTTTTTTTTGGGTTTACTTTTTTATGGAAAAGGAACTACTGTTTTTCATTCAAGGTACACTATCAACTGTTTCAAACAAACAAGATGTCAAAAAGGGGTGTTTGTCATGACTTTGAAGATAGCAATAAAAATGCACAGAAGGCATTTTGTGCAAAAATGCCTTTACAATTTCATTAAAACAAACAGATACAATACTGGCCAGTCTAATAAAATTCCTAAATTTATAACTGTATGCCCCAAATACTATATATAAACCACAGCAAAACAGGATAACCTTTGTTCAAAAGATACCTTTACTCAGATACATTTCATGATTGTATCAACTCTATTTTAGAACTGTGATGTGTAAAAATCAGAGTTGCTCTTTAGGCAGCATTAAATCCACTACTAATCACTTTGGTTCATTTTATGTTTCACTTCATTTATAGTGAGGATTTTTTAAGCCGAAATTTGTAATGCCAATAACTGACCAATTTTGATAAACTGTTCTCCCCTCTGTCAAAACAACTTATCAACTGTCAACACAGTAAGCAATAAAGTAATGCAACACTTCAGTCCTTTCAGCATAATTACATCTGTAATATGAAGAAATGCAGCATTCAAATCCTTCTTATCTTTTTTTTCTAATCACTGATGCTTTCTAATGACTAATGTACTTTACTCAGACAGAAGAACAGAAGTAGACCTAATGGGACAACTCACTGATTCATCCTCCAGTTTAAACAAATGCTCATTTCGCCTGAATTTCAAATCTTCATGTAAAAAGGTATTTTAATGAAGCAGGTAAGATGATTACAAACTTATTATATGTGTCATAAAAACCTTTAAAATGGAGAAGTTGTTTTACTTGTAAAAATATTAAATGGCAATCACGGGATTTCTTTTCTGTCAAACAAAAACTCATAGAAAATAATGTGTAAATTAACAGTTAAGTATTTTATACTATTCACTGCCTTCTACTACAATTATTTTAAAAGAACCAGAACTATAACCTGTACTCAGTATAATCCCCTACTGTTCTATGCAGCCCAATGCAGCATAAAAATAATTCCCTGTTTTAACAAAGAGAATTTTGCCAGCTACTACAGGTGTACTTAACCCTTACACTCTAAAACTTCTTAATGGAAGAGCATCAAGTACCTAGTACTTACTAGTGTTGAACATTTTCTTTTTTCAAACGCCTTTAAAACAAATGAAATTACTTGGGGGTTTATTTTAATTGAAGATTCAATTGGGCTATACATTTCTATGCAGTTTCCATAGCAACATTCATTTCAAAATAAAGAAGCCGCTTCTCTATTACTCATTATTACTAAAATACAATTTAATGTCTCTCTTGGAACTAAACAACATTAAAAGAGGCCTTGGGAGAAATCCATCTAGCACAACTAATTAGTTTTGAAAATGGCTTTTTAAAATCCACCTAATTTGAATTTCATTCACATCACAGCCTTAAAAGCAACAATTTTGCTTTAGTTTTTTGTTTACTGAAGTTAACAATGGCCAAAAGGTACAGAACTATTTTCCTCTGGTCTGAACAAAAGAAAGATAGGTGCTGCAAAAGAATGGCTTTTAGAAAGTTCACAGCCCCTATTTGCCCTAAGTCATGAATTGCCAGTCAGAATACTAAGACTGGAATGCCAACATTCCCCTTCAAGCATGCATTAGTCTAATAATTCTTACTATTCTGATCTTGGGAATTCACTTATAAAGGACATGACAATAGCCTAGACCAAAATACATGCTTATTCTGAAAAAGAACAAGTAGGTCAGAGGAGGGAGTTTCTCTTTTCACATACCTTTTTCTATCACTGGTCTCACTCAGCATAAAATGTAATACTCCTCAAAGGCATAAGCCACATTTACTTTACTGTTTTATTGCACATTCTACTTAACTGCAGTCTCCTTATTTTTGTTTGTGCAATAATGAAGACCAAGAATAGAAACATGTAAGTTAAAATCTGCCTCAGTAAATTTGTGTGGCCATGATACTAAATATGTGAGAGATCCATTCACTGCAGAAGAACCCTGTCTTGAATATGAAGGAAAAAAAAATATTTTAAACTGCTATTCCTACTAAACTAAATCAACTTAAGCCAGGAAGAACTGATTTTTTTTTTTAATGGTTTTAAACCAGCAAAACCTAAGGCAACAAGAGGAAGAGCCACGGATTTCTAATACTAATTACAAGACATAAATTACAACTCTTGGATCTAAGCCAATCTCTTAATGACAAGGTAATGCCATGACACACAAGCAAATTAAGTACTATCTTCATTCCCACATCTCCTATGCAGTTACCTATGTGCCCTCATTCAGATCCCAAGAGCTTACTTAGGCAAAATTTCATCAACAAGTGAGCAAAATGCCTCACAAAACTGCAAAGAGCAGATGAACTGAGTTGCTTCAGAGATAGTTCTCCTGCCTTCTTCTGATAACTTTATTAAAATACACTCGTGAGAAGGAAAAAAAAGAACATTTTGTATTAAAATAAAAGGATGACTGTTAAGCAGATGAAGTTAAGTTGGCAGGTCTGAATTTCCATAAGTTAACACAAAAATATAATTGACAAATTTGTATTTATTACAAATAATTACAATTTGTAATAAATTACAAATTTATTATCTAGCCTAAAATTCTTTGATGCCTGACATCCCATTGCTAATTTATTAAGAATAAGGCAGAATCTATATTGCTGAATGCCCACATTCATACCTCAAGTATACTCCAGTTCATACACTTCCATTTAGTAACGTGTAATTTTGGAATAGGTGATGGCAACTTGCCCACTGTGAAGTCTGTAGTTTTTGACGGTCAGAAAGAAGAACAAGGTTTTGAAATATTTTATTAAATGCATCAATTCCATTTCTATTACAGAGACCCATTAATGCTTGCATATTTCCTTCCAACTCTAAACCAGCAGCTTTGAAGTTATTTTGGCATTTTTCATCGTGGGAACATATGAGCATTCTATGTTTGAAAACGATGAATGCTTTCTGGGAGAAAAACATCAGTACTATATTTAGGAAAACTCTTTATATTCCTTACTAAATAAAACAGATTGTACTAAATGTAACAACATACCATAGTGTAATTGTGAGCCACCTTGTGCAAGTCAGTGCAACCCTGCGCATCAGCAAAAGATCGGATTCCAAGGCAATTGGATGGATGAAGCTGCTTCATTAGGAATTTACAGCATGCTTCTACAACCTGAGAGAGCTGAAGAAGGCAAGCTGTAGACAACAGGCACTCAATGTTATCTTCTTTTAATTCAAGGCGACCTAGTAACATCAAAAAGAAAAATCACATTAATTTGCTCTTATAATCTTACAAATTCCCTAAAACCCCAAGGCAACAGAATTATTTACAGATTATATGACAGAATATAAGGCTTAGTAAACATCACCCTCAGCATTAGATAACAAATAGTTTTCAAAATTAGTATCTATAATGATGTAAGGAAAGGAAATCCTAATGAGATTCCTTTTTTTGTCAGTCATGATACATTTAATAGATTCACATAATTTGTTAATTAACTGAATATAGTATTATCAGAGAAACTTTATCCTATCAAGTTGTCTCAGGTAACAGCAATGAAACCTAATTGCTGTCTACAGCTTTCTCACCAGGGAAGGGGAGGGGCAGGCCCTGATCTCTTCTCTCTGCTGACTGGTGACGGGACCCGACGGAATGGCCTGAAGCTGTGTCAGGGAATTAGGTTGGACATTAGGAAAAGGTTCTTCCCCCAAGGGTGGCTGGGCACTGGAACAGGCTCCACAGGGAAGTGGTCACTACACCAAGCCTGACAGAGTTCAAGAAGTGCTTGTAAAACATTTTGGGAGACATGGTGTGGTTGTCGGGGTGTTCTGAGCAGGGTCAGGAGTCAGACTTTGAGAATCCTTGAAGGTTGCTACCAACTCAGGATATTATATTATTTATTTATTTATAAGAATTTAAGTAATGTGAATAATTTGTAAAGAGCATTTGAAATCTAGTAATGTTCACATGAGAACAATTCATTAGATGAAATTTCCATTTTCACTTCAATTACCTGTATATGCATATTGAACCAGAGCCCACAGTGCCTTTGGCTCCACACCCTCCATCTTGATTTCTTCCTGTCTTGCTTCCCTTACATCATTAGTGAACATTGCTGCAAAGTAGTCCGAAACAGAGGAGAGAACCAATCTGAGTATGACATGCAAGAGAAAGGAGAGAAACAGAGAAAAGAAAAAAAACTTGGTCAACCTGATGTTTGTTAACTTATGATTCATTACTTTGCCCTTTGAAGAAACACTGTAGTGAGAAAAACACTTAAAAATTGACAAAGTGCTCCATGCTCTAGTTTCTCTCTATGAATAATGAAGTACTGATACTGAGCCTACATTTGCTACTGATCTAAACTAATTACTCTTTCAAAGCTCAATGACTTTCAATAGCCAACACAGACATAAATGCTCCCAAATCCACATAAATCGGAAATGGAATATAAATATACGTTACTTAAATAAAAATAAAACTGAATTTATTTTAATTTACAGTATGTTAGATACTTTTTTAATTGGGAAATAATGACTTACCAGTCCTTTTCAAAGGGCTTTAAAAAGCTTTTGCTCTTGGTCTGCACATATACATTTAATTCCTAATACTGCTAACAAAACTTGTCACAGTCAGTGTGGAGATGATACAGAATAATCTCTTTTGTGAATATGTATTTAGCCTTCTTTAACAATTCTGACTATTTTACATATGTATGTTACATGTGTAGGTAAACATGTTTGTGCATAATGGACATTTCTTTGGATTATTGAGAGCAAAACACTCACAACAAATAATAATGCCACTCTGCAAAATGTGCAAGAATTTCGATGCCTCAGTATATGTTCAGAGACTAGGGTAAAAGAGAAAATTGTATCAGGCAGGAATATGAAACCTACCATAACTATTCAGGAGGAGTAAGAGACGTCCAGGAATGGCCTTGTGGCTTGGATGAATTTTTGTGCTGTAGCAGTTCACTGTTGCCTTGCCCACAGGGAATTCAATATAAATACACTTATAAATACAAACAGCAAGCCTGAGAACCCAGCCTACTGCAAATACATTAAATAGTCCATATGCATACATTCTATTAATTTAAAACTTCTGGTGGTTTATGCTGTGCTGAATTATTACACTGGTGTGTTAAAATGACAGAGGTCAGGAACCACAAAACAGAGCAAAATTAATTGAAAAGGTGAGCACCAGTGCTTAGGGGAGGATTTACAGGATTACATATACAAAGTAATGAAATATAAGGAGCTGTCTCTTAGTTAATTAACTGCAAAGTAATAAAATTTTGACTAATTAATTTCATAATACATTTTCCTTGTGAATTTTATGATCATTGACCATTTGGTCAGACTTACAAAAAAAAAAAATCCTTTTTTTCTAGCTGCTGAGGCAACAAAGTAGAGTTATAAGTGCATGGGAAAAAGATTAATTTTATTTTAACACCTTGTATGATTGAAGTTTTGTTAAAAGAAACACAGTTCTGTTCTTTCAAAGAGAAATGAAATTCTGTAATTGAAATACGAGATTTATTCTGTGGCTGACTAGCTAAGAAAAATTAGAACTTTCTGCTAAAGTAGGGCCCGGGCATCACTTTTAGGCATTTTAACCTCAGATTTAATGAAATCTGCATTTAAATGAAAATGCTGCCTCCCAGAGATGTATAGAAGTGGAGTAAATTAGAGAGTACATTCATGTAAGTATCAAGGGAGAATTTCTGCAACTGCTTTTGATGCTAGAATGAGATGACAAGATCAGATTTCTATGAACAAAATAAGGGTTCTCACTAGAAGGAAAAGTGGTTTGAATAACCCAAGTATCTCTGCAGGTCCAATTCAAAATTTAAAAAAGCAAAACAACCAACTTAACATACTCACATCTGGCAGTTCTGACTTGGAACTACACAGAACAGAGCTTGAAAAAGACAGTTCTTCTCCAATGGGAAACAGAACTTAATACTTAGTCATATCACAGTTTGGGGGTTGTTTTCTTTTTTTCTTTCCCTAGCAGTGCAACTGGACTAGGTAGCTGCACTATTATTTAGAACACTGGACTGTACACGTTTTAGCAACAACTTCTGAAGAAATGCCAAATAATAACACAAGGGTCCCAATGCCTTCTATCAGAGTTTTGATATCAGCAAATTTCTCCCTGTAATTTCTAGACTCAAGAGTCCTCCAATGGAAATTAACTAAAACGTAATCCATTTACTATTTTTGCTAATGTGTTCAGATCCATGAGGAGGTATAAATGCTTCACAGTAGTAAGTGCTTTCCAGAGAGTGACTTGCATATGCTGACAGAGGATGTGAAGTCCAGAAGTAGTTTAATACAGGTAATTTGAAAAAGCACAAATTATACTGAGAGCAATTTTTTAATAATTTCACAGTGAAAACCTTAGAAGAGGTATCCCCACTTTTCCCTTAATTCAACTGCTTTAGAAAAGAAAAGTTCTTTCAAAGAAAGAAAAGGGATTAAAATATACAGTGACAATGCATCAAGGTGACACTGAGCTAGGATAAAAGAAAACAAAGGCAGACTTTCAGCCAACTGGCCTTTTCTTGTCCTATCTTTTTCCCACTTGTCAATAAAAATCAATTACTCACATGCAATTTGATATTCACTTGTCACTAAATACTGACAAAATCTGGATGTTTTAGTACTGCAGCAGGCTCCAAAGCTACTGATGTCTTTAATTTCAGTGGTTTGTATTGATCCAAAATTAGAAAGATCTACCATGATGGCTTAACTTATTTTGAAGAGTTTTCCACTGAGAGCAAGTAAAATATGTGGCACACTTTAAAACCCATACTTGTTGGAACTGCCACAAGCTGCATCATCTAGATAGTTTTCTAGGTCACCAAAGCAATTACTATGTAAAATGATGACAGGTGCCAAACCTGGCAATTTACATGTTTAGTATCTCCAAACCCATCTCACCTGACAGAATGAAGTGAAGCTGCTTAAGATCTGAGAGATAAAAGGGACTCTTCCTAGGCAGCTCCTTGTCTGTGGCTGTGTAACAGTTGAAAACTTGTCCTTGGCAACTCACTATCAGCATTCACTGAAGTTGTAAGGTGATGCTGAGGAGATCATGCTCTTTCAAACAAGCTTCCTAAACTGTAGAGTACAAAAAGTTCCCTTTGCCCTCTTCTCTTAAGTCCCATGTCTTTTGTGTTTCCATCCTTCAGTGTCAACAGAAAGACAGACAATGGCTCACCCCAGACTGCTGATTAAAGGATGTGGAGCAGACTTTAAATGCCCTCTGGGCAGGAATTTACACATTATTTCCCTTTTCTTACATGGATGTTCTAACCAGCGGGTTATTACCAAAGAAAACAAGCTTTTATTATGGATAGAGCAGTTAGCTGAACATAATAAATACAAACATAATAAATCATCTGAAATTGCAGTGCACACAAAATAAACACCTGCTATGAAAAACTTAATTAAACTAATTAAATCAAAGTATCCAAAATTTCTTTATGGAACTGAAGGGGTGGGAATACAATACATTTCTTCCTAGGGGAGAATGGTCCCCTTTTCCTACTTGCTTCTTGACCTTGCAAGTAAGTTTTTAGCTATAATTTCAGCACAGAAAAAGAAGATAAACACTTTTGGAACAATAGAGAATGCCATATTCTGAAAAATCATGCCTATATGCCATGCTTTATTTGTAGTACACTCATACCCTGAATTCTTTAAATTGATAGAAAACCTCTCAGAATTTCACAGCAATGTATTACCTGTGCTTATTACCAAGGCAGATACCAAACTCATGTCTCTTTTCTCTAAAAGCATACATCATACACCTCATAACACTCCATAAAAGTAGAAACTGATAATTTATAAAATACAGGAATGATTAAAAATACCAGCTTCAGAACTGAAAATCTGAATATTCCTCCCTATATATGAGTGTGATTAATATTAATAGCGAAAAATGTTCTTTCTTAACAACTCTATGTGACCACATAGTATGAAAAACTCATCTTTCTTATGAAAAAACAAAGGAAAACAAAGCTGTCCAGTGCAAGTGAACCATCTATTTTCTTACTCATCTTGGAATGCCAAGCCATTAAGCTAAGATCTATTTAATACATATTCTGTTGCTTACTAGGTCTCAAGACAAAATAATCACTGGTGTTCTGAAATGCCCTGACTGATCCAGCCTGCAGTCAATACTAAAGAAGTCAGAAATTGTATGGAGGCAGCAAAAATACTACAGAAGTTTTTTCTTATAACTGACTATAACTAACTTATCATTGGCTGCTACAAGTAGATAAAGGCAGTCAATTATAAGAAATTACATAAATTATACAAAATTGTATAATTTCTATAATAAATATAAAAATACAATTATATAAATTAATTCTTGAATTTCTATAAAATTTAAATGAAATTTAGTATTTTCATATTTATCCCACTATGAAAAAAATTCAGTTTTCAATGAGATACTTTGGATCTACTGAGATTAAGATTGTAGTTATTGCTATGTTTCTCTGTGAAAACAAAACAGAGAAAGAACTTATTATGCAAAAGGCAAAGCTTCTTTGTAAGTTGCTCCTACATTATAAAGTGAACAAGGGACAATTGTAAGCCTCCCACCTCCTGCTAAAAGCACAAACTCTGCTTCTTTGGCTTTAACTTTTATGCATATTTAACACACAATATACCAGCAACAGCAAGATGTTTCTCCTCAAAGAGAAGTCCAGAGCAAATAACAGATAGTAGCATATGCCTCATGTACTACAGAAATAGATACAGTAGCAGAAACTGGAGAAGCAAAGTCAGTTTTTTAAATAAATGAGAAAGAAGTGTGAACCACATTAAAGGACTTTTTAGCGTGTTGCCTATCCATTTATTTCATTGCAAATAGAATCTTCCAGTCTTTACAAGATATTCACAGCTGTCCTCTGCACCCTTTCTACACATTTTTAACTATTACATAAGCCACAGTCCAAACACTTATTGCAAAGGGGTTACCTTGGCTCCATAAGGAAGTAAAATTATTTCCTTATAATAATTGCTATTTTTTCCTGTTTACACCTCTCCAAAGTTCTTTTGATCTTAAATTACTTGAGCATGTGCCCACTAGGGGTGTGTGTATTCCATGTTTTCATCTGATTCATTCTTTTCACAGGAACAGCACAGTTAAGTAACTAATTTGAACATTTCATAAAATGAAGTCTCTGAGCTACAGTTTAAAAGCCTCCCTGATTCTGAAGTCAGTTCCCATCCCCATGCTGTCATTCCCTCAGCTGAGTCAGTACAACAGTGTGGATAATATCTGAATAAAAGTATAAATCTGGCTTTCTAAGGAAAGTACCAACTCCAAACCAGCAACCTCTTCCCATATTTTTATTACTATTACAGCTCTGAGATGTAGTTTCACTGTGGGAGTCGAATGAGCAATGGAAAACAAGAATGCTTTAGTTGCTATTTCTATTGTAGACCTCAACTTAGGAAACTGCAGCTTAACTATACTTAGATTCCTATTCAAACTACAAATTCTGTACATTAAATACTATAATGTGTTTCAGTTACACATGCCTGTTTTGCAATCTTTGGTATTTTCCTAGCTTTTAAGTGTCATACATATGATCTCTTGATTACCCAGATGACAGAGAGAGTAATGTTTGAACTAATTTAGACATCTAACACTGGCAGTGTTCAGAAGTCTCCTATCAAAGACTCTTACTATGGGAGCAAAAAACCCGTCCGTATTAACTGTGACTCCAATAACATAATTGCTAGTACCCAGAAAAAACTAAATCTAAGAAAAAAATGTTACATCATTCCATGGTAAAGAAACCACTATAACTTATAATATTCTGGGAGTATATTGGGGACTCCTGGGGGTTTAATTTTGTTATGCAAATACCATAAGTATACTTGGAAACAAAAATAATGTGATTTTTTTTATCTTATTCTGTATTGCATACAACAAATTAACTTTTGTTTCCAAATAAATGTTAAAAAAACATATACACATTTAAAGTATTCTAAATTGTTTAGGATGTTCTGACATTTTTTTAACAAAAGATGGGACACACTTTGAAAGTGCATTTGTAAATAATTATGAAGTTATTTCAAATTATAATAAACTTACCTGTGAGCTGGAATTCTACGATCACCAGCAACTAACACCACATCACACAGTTGACTATGTCTAAGATAGTTCTCCATCTTTTTAAAAGTTTGTTCAGCATGGTTGAGAGCCTGAAAAAATTCATCTGAGGTACAGGGCTCCATTATTTGACAAGAGGATAAGGTGTGACTGCTGTCGGAGATTCTGCTGAAGACAATAACAGAAATCTTAGTTCACACAATATTCAGGTGAAATTTTATCTACAAAGGATAAAATAAAAACCACACATGACTTTAAAGTTGATATGCATGATTTTTTTTAATATCCATTCCCTTGCTAATTTATTTTTCTTCGTATTTTCTTTCTCCCTCCAAATCTAATCTAGACCCTTGTGAAAAAAGTATGATCATTTCATGTTGTACTCTTCAACTAAGAGACACACAGAGACTGGCCCAGTAATTCTATCTGTAGTGCTGTCAGATGGAAGGAAGAACATCCACTAAGACCCTGCAAAGTGAAAAATTAATGGAAGGATGGCAATAAGGAACCAAACCCCTCCCTGCCATTTATTTTTCACACTTAGTCTAAGATGGCTTGAACAAAACTCAGCTGGTAAAACATATGGGCATGCAGGGGAAAAAAACACAAAGAAACATATTGATACACCACCCCTCTTATTGTATTCCTTGTGTCTGATATGACATCTAGTACATCAGAAATCAACAGAAGTGAAAAGCAAGGCTGGATGGGGAGAAAGATTATTCCCATCTGTATACACACATACAGAACATTGGGAAAAAACAGGAATAGAGAAAATGTAAAAGGAATGCATGGACCTAGGAGATAAAGGAAATTCATCCTAATTATGTACACTGTGGAAAGCATGTCTTCTTGCTCACAGTTCTTTAACTGACTACTACTTAGTTTTCAACAATGCAGGCAACTTATAAAATACTCTGAATCTACCATAACATTTGGAAGGACGTGATTTCACAAGATCTGCATCCTGAGCCCTGCTTCCACAAAGATGTCATGAACGGAGCATCATGCCTGGGGCTAAATCCACCACAAAACTTACCTCACTCCTTGGTGTAGCATACTCATTTAAAGACAGTGCTCCTCAAAACCAGTCTAAATTTCTAACCGAAGATTTTCTGTAAAGGGAAACTTTGTGATTTGGTCTTGGGTTCTGTTATATATTTTGGTTTTGGGGGTTCTTTTTGCATGTACCCAGTAGCTAAAAAAGCCAAGCAGTTTGGTAATTAATTCATAGCTAAATCTAATAATGGATCAGAAATTAGATACCTGCCTACTGATTTCCCTCGGGGGACTTAATATTAAATGTTCTTGCTGAAGCTGTGGTTAGCCATTAATTTATGTGTCAGCTTCTTCCCTGCTTCCTGTAGCCCACAAGTCACTTGTTCTGCTCCACCACCAGCCCTCTAACAGGCTGGAACAAGTATTCTTTGTGGCCATTTTAGAAAATGAATCAGGGGTTCATACAAAGATGGAACCACGGAACCATGGACCATATTGTGTTGGTCAGCTGGGTGGCATTCTCAAGGGAATGAGCAAGAAGTATTCAGTGAAAGCAACTCTTTAACCAGCAGCCCTGAAAAACAACATCAGAAGTGGAAAGAGTAGGTTGCTGGTCAACACACAAATACTTAGAAAATTAAACTGTACCTCCGTATCACAATTTAACACATTCTCAATTGGGTTAATACATTGTGGTTTTTTACTGGTTTGTTTGCTTGTTTGTTTGAACTGTATTTTAACCCATATTCCTCAAAGTAACTCAATAATAATTTTTTTAAATTACATGCTATCAGGATTTTATTTACATTTCAAACTTACAAAGTGTTTTGCAGATAGAATGGAAAAAAATAACAAAAGCAGAAGCTTTCCAAGCCAGCACTTGCTGGATCACAACCTCACTGGAGCTATTGCTAGCCTCGAAATTGCACATATTTTCCACAGAGAACTCAGTCATCACTGTTGTTCTGTAAGGAAAAATAATTGCAGTGGTGACTGTTTTTCAGTATCCACAATAAAGCATGTATTCAGGACACAACAGAGTCAAGCCTCGTTCTCCTCCTCATCTAAAGATGCTCAATCCCATACCTGTCCTCTAGCTAATAACTTACAAACCATCTTCCACAATGAAGAGAAAGGAGAAGGAAAGAAAGACTAAGGTTCAGTCCATAAAGAGAGCATGAAAGAGAAAGTCTAAAAGTTCCAGTATCTGCAAAAAAAAAAAAAAAAAAAAAAAAAGGAAAAATAATGTTTCAAAAACTATTTGTGCCTGTTGCCCTGTGACTGGATAGATAAATTTAAATGCCCTGCCTTCCACAAACTGTTCTATAAATATTTTTCCAGTTCTATTTGCCACAGCAATGACAACCTGGGAGAAATCCTAAAGAACTTACACCCTTAAAGGTCAATGAGTCTGAGGTAAAGGAAAAGGCATACCAAAGGATTCTGTTGCTTGACAACTCAGGGTGAGGAGGCAGGCTTGGTTTGGATGTTACAACATACTAACTCCAAGACTGATCATACAGAGCAATACTGCAGAGCTGCTACCACCAGGTACATTCAAACCTTGTCTTTAAATAATTACAGACATTTTACTAGACTGTTCAAGGTCAGTACACAGCTGATAAATTCTGGTATATAAATATACATTTTATATTATATTTTAATATATTTCCCTACTTCAATCTACAATAAAGTAATTCCAGTATTTTAATGCATACCTGGATGAAATTAACCAGATACAACACTCTCTACACTAGGTATGCTCTAGATATTTTTAGCTTTATCTCCACCATGACTTCAAGGTCTGTAGATTGCTGCTAAGGCACCACAAAAAAAGTTAAGAAAAGCAATCTAATGCTAATAGGCTTACACTTTCTATACAAGAGTCTGCACAACTGTTGGTGAATTCTTAAAAGTGTACAAATCCAAAAAGATGATGATTGCCTCAGGGATGCAGGACAGTTAACAAACAGCAGTAACAGAGGAAATCTAGGAGATGAAAATCTGCAAAAGAATTCAAAACTCACTGTCCCAGTAAACCACCATTCTAGCTAATGCTGGTTACAAATGACACATAGGAGTGTGATGTAAACAGTATTACAGCAAACTAGCTCTGCATCTCAGATGCAACCTCAGACTCTCATCTGTCTGCATCTCAGACGCAACCTTGGTCAAAGATCTGGTACTAAACTTAGAACTGAGCTCTATACTAACACCAAATTAATTTGACAGCAGGTCTCCTCTAAATTAATCACATAATGATCAAAATGATGTCATAATGACAAAGACCTGATCTAAATGCTTTTCTACTTCTGCTATATGACAAGAGGAAGAACTGATACAAACAAAGCAGCAGAGCTGCTTCTGTTACTTCGTATTCTAGGGTTTGTAACTGGGCAGTAAGTTACATAGGAGCATGAAGTAAGGTAACTCTGTAGCTTCTAGAAAAATGTTTTTTAGAAGTCCTTTTTCATGCACACAATTTATTTGTAAAGGAGGTAACAAGGTTTCCATATGGGAAAAATGCTCTTTGAAAACTACATAGACGAAAGTGTTGGCATGGGTTTTTTTTCCTCATGTCAACATATAAGAAGCCATATTTTAGACTACAAAGGAAAAATATTTAATTAAGTTCTTAATATCACAAAACTCGGGGTGTTAGGCAGAATTATGTAGTCTAAGAGCCTATATATTCTTAAAAAATGAAGTGAACAAAACATGGTTTAAGTCCAGTCTCCCCATAAGACAGAGATACAAATAACAATACAAAGCAAGTTCCTACATTGCCATTAGTTACATATTAAATTGTACTGACAGTGAACTCAAAATTTACCTAAATTATTTATTTTAAATCATGTAAGCAAACATGGATTATAAGACAGTAACAAAAATACAAAAACCTCTAGATGCTATACATGATTAAGCACATAATTTAAAAGATACTTTCAATTTACTACATTTAAATCCCTTGTGCATTTTATCTAGAGTAAAAATGACTGCAAAAACCCCCCAAACAAACCAAGACTTTTTAAAACCTCCTAAATAAATATCTGCAGTTCTCCAATTCCACCAAGTAACAAATCAATTTTGCCATATGCACATTATTCCCTTACAATTAAGACCAAATGCTGTAGTATTTTCAATCTACACATGTATCTTTTAAAATTACATGGTTTTTTTCCCCTACTGTTATTGCCTTGCTACAAAGAGAGTATCCAAACTGGGGTAATACTGCACATAAAAGTTTCCCATCATAAATATATGTTGTTGAAGTGGAAGGCGATGTTATATCTCTATCATATCCAATGACATAGCTATTTAAAAATTCACATCTGAATGTCATTTAAAATGAGATCTCTTCAGAGGTATGTTACTTACAGCTACATGGTTGTTGCAGCACGCTGATACTGCTGTTATGATGCAGCAGTATGTAGGATTTCCTTTCCCAGTAATTCTAGTACTTTGACATGCAGTGATAAAAGCAAATACACTGTCTTCAGTTCTAAGCAATTTTGCTCTCCCTCCTTTCCTTGAATCTTTAAAGGTCATATATATAATAAACAGTTAATATTTATATTATGGACTACTTCGGCTTTCCACTAAATTGATTATTCTCCTATGGAATGAAAATCACTAAACTGCTATAAGTAGATCGATCTGTCCTTAACAGCTTTTATTAAAGTGTATCCTTTTAAGTACCCACACTTTCTGAAATGCCACATCTGTGCAAAAAGTATCTTAAAAGTGAGAAAGCAAACATCCTAAAATTTTCTGAAATGTCAAGCTATCATGCACTACATGAACTACAAAACAGGAAAAATACTTTTAGTGAAGAATGACTGACTTACGCAGTAAATGAAATAAAATAATTTAACTGATATTTTACAAGAAAGGTTAGTAATTTGCCTAATTTACAACAACTGGTAAACAACTTCCATTCAAGAACAAGTTTTACAGTTTCATCTTTAGTAACAATTTAATAAAACCAAATGGGTTACTGCAATCACTTTAAAGCACAAATTGATTGACTTTCAATAGATGTAATTTTTTTCTTTGATTTATAGCGTATTTTTTACAGTTCATTCTCCATCTTCTGTAGACACACATGGAAACTTGAGGTCAGAACCAGAAGCAGCTTACATTTTCATAATCTCCTCCTAACTGAAATA